CGTTACCGTAACTAACCTTAACTTAACTAACTACGAACGAACGAAGTTAAAGTAAGTTAGGTAAGTAACGTAACGAACGACTACTACTAACAACTAACTAACGTACGTACGTACGTACGTACGTACTACACACACACACACACACACACACACACACACACACACACACACACACACACACACACACACACACACACGCGCGCGCGCGCGCGCGCGCGCACGCACACACACACATACACACACATATATATATATATATATATATAGCAAGGGCGTTGTCGCCGTTCTACCATCACTGCGTGACAGCGTTGTGTCCGTGTGCGCTCAGCGGGCAGGGCACTGTTCGCTTACAATAATCGGGGATAAATCTATTGTATGCGCCAGGTAAGGCAGAAGGGATCAAGGTTACATGTCAGTAGGCTATTAGAATGGGGAAAAAATTGTAAGGGCAATAAAAAAATGTCATTTTATTACCGAATTTCCAGCCATATAGGCTTGGGAACGTTCGCACGTTCGTTTCAGGATGACAGATGATGCCTTGCAACTGTATTTTCCGGACAACTCTTCACGTATACGTGTAGGCCTACTTAAAGACGCATGAACGCGTGCGTGCGTGTGCGTGTGTATGTGCGCGCGTGTGTGTGTGATCGGCGTGATATATATATATATACATGTGTGGGTACACGATCAGAAACAATGGTTGTTTTCTCAACTTGACTACTCGTTATTTTTAAGCTAAAAAGGTGTGTAAATTGCTAGTCTCGTGTGACTCAATGGACTATTGACAAGACAGAAACGTCGTTATAGCGCATGAATAAAACTCATTATAAAGACCGCAACAGAAGCTAATACGGAATAACCTGCGCGTATCTATTCAATGTGTGCACGGTATTGATACACGCGGGGATGCTTGTGCTGCCGGGATGCAACCGGATAGTATCTATACTCCGTCCCAACGGTCCCATACATCCATCATTTCATTCGACAGTGGAAACAAGCTTCGTTTATCACTATTAATTGATGTAGTTCGTTTCGGGTGTGCCGGACAAATATACTACAATGCCATCACGGAACTTCTTTTAATGACGATCCCTCCCCGGACAGACAAAGCGATATTTGCGTCGCATAGAAACACGTGTTAAACTTGCGGATCACGTTATTCTCCCCGGACCTGTGTAGACACTGTAAGGCTATGTTGTAGACCGTTCCATCAGGAACTCCGTAGGCGCTGTAACTTTATGCTGTAGACTGCATGTCCCGTTCGTTTTTCCGTCGACGCCTACTAACGTCTTCGGTTGTCTCTAGGTAGGTGATTGCGTGGCGGGTAGTTCCATGGAATAATTCACGATAAGGAATATCGCAAATCAGGAAGTGGTTGGGTGTGTATTATAATAGGCATAACCAACCCCGGCACTCCTGTATGCTCTATCACTTACAGTATAGCAACGCAATATTCCACTCTTATTGTATTATTGTTATATAGTTGTATTGTTTTAACCTCTGCTCATTCTCGCGAGCGCACACGCGGACAGGTATCATGGTGCGGGTGTGTAGATTACTAGCCAGTGCTTATAACCAGGTTAATAGCCAGTGCGTCGCATCTTTTTCTTTAACATTCATCTTCAACAGAAGTAAATGTAAAAAATACAGACAGATTGAGCGATAGAGAGAGCGAGTAACCGAGCAGGAGAGAGAGCACAATAATGACATTAGGACGGGAGGAGAGAGAGAGAGGAGAGAAAGAAAGACAGACAGAGAGAGAGGGAGAGAGAGAATGCGAGAGAGCAGGGACGATTCCTCTGTTTATTTAGTTAATTGCCTCAACACTTGCCCACAGGTCGGCCTGCCGGCTCCCGAACAGTGTACTAATCAACCATCATTGTCTTCTAATTTCTTATACAAACTAGCCTTTCTCCCGTCCGGGCACGCAGGAGTAATCGCACAACAAACATCTATGCGCGCCATTAAACAGGTGGTAGAGATGCAGCAGAATCCGGCTGCTGTTTGTTACGCTACAGGTTGATTTCTTGGTTTAGCCCGAAACAAGTTGAGTCACCAGCCGTCGGGCCGAAATCCGCATGTTTTGTCCATCCCTACAACGGAATCATAGCAATGGAGAATAGATCTATTGATTAACCAGTTACGTGGAGGATGAATTACACGGAACATGCTTTTAGTGAGAGAGAGGAAAGTTTTGCTATATTCGCACGATATCGCGATACAGTAAAGCGACGGAATAGCGCTTAAATTACGTTTGATCGCGCATTACAAACAGAGAGTGGTTGCTTATAAATAGCTGTTGAATTATTTTCATTTACGTGCAAACCTTGACAGTTGAGAATGGGCACTGATGATTACGTAATTTGACATGGCACGAAATATTCATCGCAAATGAAAAGTTTCGTGAGCAGCAAATAACAATGGAACATCATTGCGGACGGAATGGGCGCTGCCCATGGTACGTTGAGCAACGATGCAAAAAGCTGTAAATTGTAGTTTTTGTAATCTAAAAAACGAGATACGTGACTAAGTACGAATAAGGGCACGGATGAAGGAGGAGGCATCTACCGGTGACTGAGACCTACTGCGACACAGATGTTGATTACAGCGCCCCCTATGCAGTCAGCTGTAGCATTCAGTCATGCCTAGTTGGTTTTCAAGTGAGCTATTGTTACATTCCGGGAAAATATGCCAGTCCCATTCTTGTTGAGATGGTGGCTGCTTGACGGGCATACCTTCAAATAGCATTCGGAAAATCTTGTTGCCATGGAAGTGAGCTAAGGCCTATATATATATATATATATATATATATATATATATATATATATATATATAGTATATATATACTAGTACGTAGTAACGTAGTAACGTAACGTAACGTAACGGTAAGTAACGTAGTAACGTACTACGTACTA